ACTTTCTACCTCAAGAAACTACATAAAGTAGAACAAAATAAAGCGAATGTGTGCAGAAGGAAGAAAATAAAAAAGATACGAACAGAAATCAATGAAAACAAAACAATAAAATAGAGAAAATCAATGAAACAAAGTGGTAGTTCCTTGAAAAGTTCAATAAAATTGATAAATCTAGCAAGACTTACAAAACTGAGAAGGGAGAATTTAAAAATCACCAATAGTTAGAAAAAAAAAAAAACGGGATATCCCAACATATCATACAGCCATTCAAAGGATAATAAATACCACTAATAACTTTTCACTCATAAATCCAGCAACTTAGAAGAAATGAGCCAATTCCTCAATGACCACAAAGGACCAAAACTCAGCAAAGATGAGACAGATCATCTGAATACTCTTGTAACCATAACTATTTCATAATTAAAAGCTCTAGGAATTATATTCATGTAAAAAGTAAAAAAAAAATAATGCTTCTGAAAATCCCCAGGCCCAGAGAGTGTCACTGGAGGATTCTGTCAAACATTTAATTCGGCACCATTTTTACACAATTCCTTCCAAAAAAACAGAAGAGGAGGGAACACTTCCCAATTCATTTTATGAGGCCATTATTATTCTGATACCAAAACCAGGATTTATTCATCCCCACATGACAAGTGTATAGGATTTTACAAGCCCATTTTTGTGGCTTTTAGAACATGTGCAAGATTGTGGAGAGTGGAGAATGAAGCTACATATATTTCTTTTTTAGTCAAACTGAGAAAGGAATTTAGAGTTGGAGACAAGATTCAAGATGAATTCTTTTTTTCTCTCTCTCTTTTCAATATGTGATCCGCACATAAATGTCTCAGTTGCGCTCTGTCATTTGCTGTTAGTGACCAGCACTGCAACGGAACGTGAAAGCCTGTGGTCGGTCGGGAGCCAAAGTCCAGAGTCCCCCATTTGTTCTGCTATTAGTCAACCTGATTGTACTTGGATAATTAATTAGATGCTATCTGCCTCCGTAACACGGGCCTGCAGGTTTAGTTCCAAGGGGCTCGTTTATGATCATCCATGACAGTAAATAAAGGCAACACTAGTAACTAGGTTTATGTGATTGTGATAAAGTGATTAATGTGCGGGTTTAAAACCAGGCAAGCCTGGGTGCTCCTCCCAATCTGATCAACCCTGAGACCCTGGGTAACTTATTTCTGAACAGGGGTGCTCACAGCTATTTCCCTTGTAAATTTGTGGTGGGGATGAAAAAACGCAATGTTTGTAAATACTTAACATAGCAACTAGCCCCTTAGAGACCTAACTGATGGTGCCTATAATTACTACTAACATGTTTGTGGTCTTAAAAACATTTTTAGGGGTGCCTGGGTGGCTCAGTCAGTTAAGCGTCTGCCTTTGGCTCAGGTCATGATCCCAGAGTCCTGGGATCCAGCCCCACATCAGGCTCCTTGTTCAGCGGGGAGTCTGCTTCTCCCTCTCTCTCTGGCCTGCTCATGCTCTCTCTCTCAAATAAATAAAACCTTTAAAAACAAAACAAAACAAAAGTTTTTAAACCAGAATAAAATCATAGCAACATAGGTATTAACTAAATGCAATATAGTAACTGACTACTAAGTAAGCCTAAAATATAACGAAATGAAAGGCTTGCTCATCAGTACTCCATTTCAGTATTTGATCCATGGGAAAATCCTGTTCTCAGGTGGGACATTCTCACTTCCAAGTCTTTCAAAGCTGGAAGGATTTGAAAACCACAGTCTTTTTAGCTTGAACCTGATAACTGCCTTTCTATGCAGCTTCAGGTCATAGGGGGTACCTGATAATGTTAAATTGACAACATATTTTTTTTCCATTAGGGACACTTCTGTATTAATGGTTTTTATTTCCCTCATATATGTAGCTACAAAATCCAAATATCACTGTTCAAATCTACCACTCATAAATGACTCTTGTTTATAATCCCCACCAGTTCTTCCGGAGGCTTAGCACCTTTGGTAGAGTAAAGAGTACAAAAAAATCACCAGGAGGAAGAATTTATGTACCCCCATTGGGCCTCAGGGTAACTCAAGTGGCCTATTTAGTCAATGGTAGAATATCCGATTTCCTTTATAAAAATCCACTATGTGTAGCTTTAAGGCCTAGGAAAGATGTCGTGACTTACAGAGATTTCAATTTGGTCAAGAATGTAGGACAAAGAAGAAATACTTTTCAATACCATTAAATAAAGCTTAAGAACAGCGCCAAGAAGCAAACTGGGATTAAGCTCTCATTTGGTTGTAACTGAGGTAAATTTGCTCCACACTAAATGCCTTAACCCTGTGATAGAGTTTACTCTGACGCAGGCCAAGCAGGACCAGATGAAGGTGGGAGAAGGTCAGGCCCCTGAGAGTCAGGCCATCACTGTGGGATGGTGTCAGACCACCGCTTGTCCCGAGGTCACTTTACAGAGAGAGAGGGCCTATCTTCAAGCTCCTCAGGAACTGCGGCTCCCCCAAATAACCACGTTGCCCCTTTGGGAAATCTCTGTTAGTGTCTAAGCTCAGCAAAAGCCCTCCTCACTATAGTCACGTACTGTCATGGAACCATGGCACGAGCTGGATGGCTGGGATTTTGTCAGCAGAGGTGATTCTTAGTGAGGTCAGGGAACACTGTCTTCCCAAACCTTCAGTAAATTCAACACCGCGGTGGAAACTGCACTGAGATTTTCGGCTCATATCGGGTGTGGTGGTCTCAAAAGCCAGGAGCTCAAAGGTCTCATGTGCATATTGACACTGTCCCTCCTGGGAGGGTATCATTCACGCATCATTTCCTTTTTCTCATCTCCCCACTCCCCACAGACCACCTTAGCTCCACTCACCTCCTTGACACCTGAAGCACTTCTATTTTGGATATGATACTACTTTAAAATGCACCCTTCTAACTGCGATGACATTACCTCACCTGGGGGCTGGCATTTCCATGGTGATGTGGGAGCATGGGGCAAGTCAGTGTCTCCAGGCTGCCATGGAATGTAGTTGGGGCCAGTTAGGTCTCCATGAGATGGGGGGAGGTTCTGCATCCCTAAATTCTCCCACAATGTTTTAAAAAATATAACAAAATGTCACGGTGTTCTTGCTAATATTGACACTCATCAGTGAAGACAGTGGAGAAGGGTCAGGGGGAGCCCAAGGCTTGTCCTAAATCTCCTTCTGTTGCCCAGCGAACATATTCATCCAACTGTCTCAGCCCCTCACACAGACCCGGAGTTTTCAGGTTTTAGTAGGTCCCAGAAGGTTTGTAACTGCACGCCTGCGTAGGAACTATACTCAACATAAGGCTGAAATATCTCTTCAGGAAACTGTCAAATAATGGCAGTAAACTAAAACTTGGTCAATCATTATCATTAGATATCTGCACCTTTCTTCTACAAGCATTGGTAACCAAAAGGAAAACTTCACAGTGGCCTCTGGACCAGTAGCTAGAAGATCATAAATTAACTCTCTCATAAACATTAGCAGGAGGAATGCAAGCAGCACATTACTATAGTATATATCTAAATTGATAGCATAGTTACCACCACGTGATAGAGATAACAGCATTTTCCAACAATCAGAGAAAATAGTACCAAAATCTTTTCTTAAAATAACTGATCATTTTAAAGCCTTTTGTGTTCGGGGCACCTGGGTGGCTCAGTCGGTTCAGCATCTGCCTTCGGCTCAGGTCATGATCTCAAGATCCTCTGACTCTCCCTCTCCCTCTTCTCTCTCTCAAATAAATAAAATCTTTTAAAAAATAAAAACAAAAATAAACCCTTTTGTGTTCTTATTACTATAAAAATATAAAATCAATTCAGAGGTCAGTGTGTATTTTTCCTCCAAACTATTACAGTGTTGAAACAAAAGACAGTCTGGCTGGCAGCAATATATTTCTCTATTTCTTCTCCCACAGACTTTAAATAGGTCAGGAGCTGAACCAAAGACTCTATACCTATCTGCAGTACAGAGGAACTGAATCATTTCTCCAATCTGACAAGATGCTAGTCATGTCAGCATTCCTATTCTCAGGGTATCTGTTCTTGGTGTGAACCCTTGGCAAGGACTGTGCTTTTTGTCCGCTTATAAAAATTGTACATCTCCCATATATACCACACGTATATGTTCATATCACAGATGCATATACATATAATCAGCATAGAGATCCGATGGCAGAACAGCCATTCATGAAGGAGACAGTGGGAGCACGTGCTCTAGCACAACCTACTTACGGAAGGCAGGGTCCCCCAGTCAGGCGGTCTTCAGCATGGCAATGAGCAGTTTCCCCTGCAGAGTGGTCAGCAGGAAGGACACAAGCCTCTCCCTAGCACAAGTCACTCAGCCCTGCTGGGTTCCTGCTGCTCTCTGGGCACCGGCATGCCATTAGGAGTGTGACACAGTAGGGAAAGAGACCGGTTCACTGTGAGACCTGCTACTCACTCTCGTACAGTGTATCGGCCCCCCTTCCCACTGCACAGTGGCTGCCAAGCTCTGGGCGGGAGGCGTGTGGCCCTTGAGAAAGTGAGCCACGGAGTCAGACTTCCACCGGGGATACGGGCTGCAGTGTCGGGGGCCTTCTTCTAAAGACAGTACTTTTTAGGATGGCATGGAAACAACCTAATTTGGTCCCCTAGCCTTAGGAACAGGGGAAGGATTTCTTCAGGTTGAAAATGAAAAAAAAAAAAGGAAAAGGTATGAACTAGGAAGATAAGGATGTGGTTGGCACTCTGCTTTAAAAGAAATTAAGAAGATCCAGAAGTAATTTATGGAGACTGTATTTAGCATGCATGTCTGGGTGCTGGAGTGACATGGGCTTCACCTTCTTGTACCTGTTACTTTTCCACACAGAGTTAATCCAATGCTCCGTTATCTTGTCCAGGTAAAGGAAATGAGGCGATTTAAACTGCCAAGCTTGGATACTCATCCAAAGAGGACAGCTGAGGTACTGACATGCACAAATCACCGGTTTAGAGGAGGACATGGAAAACAGACTGCAAGTACCTGCTTGTGCCCCCTGTGGTGTTGGCTGACCCCTCTGAGCACTGTACTGAACGGAGGCCAGGGGCCGGTACGGCTGCGTGGTTGAGGTAGGGTACTGACCAGATGGATAGTAATACACGGACATCTGTGGGAGAAAGAGAAGAACCACGGGGAGTGAGAAATGTGCACGAAGTAACATTTTAACGTAAAATATGTGGTCGCCTTATGACATACTACGATTGTAGTAGATTGTAAAGATGGCCACCAAACACTTCACCCTGGCCTATGTGCGTGCATGCTACTCTTCTCATGAAGATGTGAAATCGATTCCCCAAGTCCTTGAATCTGGGCTGGCTCTGTGACTTGCTTTGACCAATGTCATGAGGCAGAAATGGCGACTCTGAGACTTGCAAGCCAGGTCCGTAAGAAGACTTGAACTTCTGCTCACACAGGAGGAGCACCCAGCCACCAGGAAAAGAGGTCCAGGTCATGCTGCTGGAGAAAGAGGCCACGTGGAGAAGACAGGCACCCCAGTGGACAGGCTATGCCAACATTCTGGGCATGGGAGCGAGGCCATCTTGGATGTTCCAGCCCCAGTCAAGCTGCCTGAGCCATTACCATATAAACCAGAGCTGAACCATCCCTGCTGAGTTCTGCTCTAGTTGCTGACCTAGTCCTGAGCAACACAATGGTTGTTGTCCTAAAACACTGGATTTTGTGTTTTCAGATGAAACAAGAGTGAATGAAACAGGGGCACCTGGGTGACTCAGGTGGTTAAGCGTCTGACTTCAGCTCAGGTCACGATCCCAGGGACCTGGGATCAAGTCTACCATCAGACTCCCTGCTCAGCGGGGAGTCTGCTTCTCCCTCTGCCCCCCCCCCCAACCCGCCCTGGGCTTGTGCTCTTTCTCCATCGCTCACTCTCTCTCTCTCAAATAAATAAATAAGTAAAATCTTTAAAAAAAGGAGGGGGGATGAAACAGTCATCTACCACAACAAAAAGTTTATGGTAGTTTTAAATATTATATCTAACGAATTCTTTTTCTAATGGAAACACACGTGAGACGTGAAAACTACTAATCTCTAGCCTATAAGAAGCAGGGGTTGGAATTACAAAATATGGTCAAGTCTATCAAAGCACTTGGCAGAGTGATTGGCACAGAGCCAGTATCCAAGAGAATTTATGTTCAATCTGAAAAAAGAAAATATATTTAAAATAATGTTTGTGTCACCTACTGTCACTTTCTAATGACTGAGAAGGGCTGAACATATTCTAATTACTTCCAATAAGATTCCAATCAAATGTCTCTTGATTTGGAGACATTGCCTGCCTCAGTTCATTTATATTAAGGCTGCTCTCTTACTGATCTTGAATAATTTTTCATCTCCAGGCTTCTGACCATTCTTCTATCATCTTCTCGAAAGTGTAAACAGAGGTACACTAGGACCAGCCTACAAGTAAGTATCACATACACAGAATAAAATTACAAGCCACCTATATTTGAGAACAGTGATTTCAATGGTGATTTTATTTTCTGATTTGATCATGTCAAATAGGAAACACTTTTTTATTTCAGTCTTGCTATTGAAACACATGTATCATGTTTTCCTTATTTATCATAACATAGGGACAAAAGATAACTTAGAGTGTGTTGAGCTGTGGTTCTGCAATCCCCTGGAATTGTTATGAATTCTAATTCTGTCTGGCAATATGGATATCCAAGGGTAAGAGACTGAACGAGTCTCGAATGAACATGGGTCAGTATTTGGCAACTAACTAATTGTACATTTTGTTTATAGTGATTTTTTTCTCCCTATTTCTCCCTTTTCTTGTAAGGCAATTTATAACAATAAAAACCCAAAGAATCCTAGAGTAATAACAGGTTTTAGTTACACTCTGGCAAATCATGACGCTATTAAAGATTACTACCATTATACATCAGATGCTTCCTAAAATTAAGAACAAGAGCAACTATTATGGAATTTATTCATGAGCCTTATATTTCCATGTCCTTTAGGAAAAATAAACAGTTTGTTCCCTTAGGAAAATCTGTGACTTGATTCAATGGAAGCTCATAAATATGTTACCCAATCCTTGGTCTTTTCTCTCATATTCAATATGAAACATGAAAATACCTTTAGGGATGTGGGAAAGAGTTCAAACACTTGAAAATTCCCTGATGAGCACTAATGGTTTGGATGAAAGTATAACCTCTTGAAGGAGAGCCTCAATTTTTAGTACTCAGTTGTCCTGGTTTGTTCTTGTATTTTTCTCCCGCCCTACCTCCTTTGATACCCTGCCAGGCTGTGCTAGAGGTTTGGTCACCTCCATTCGGTACCTCTCCCAGGCAGAGCATCAGGCAGCTCTTAGCACTTACATCTCCCAGTCATATGAAGCAAACGGGGCATGGGCACTTGGCTCATCCTCATCCTCCCCCATGGAGGAAGGTGCTGAGTGGGACTAAGAGGAGGCATCAAAGGATCCAAATGCAAGGTTGGAAGGGAGAAAAGAGTAAGGATAGCTCCCAAGGGGAGAAAATGTTAATTTTTCAACAACTATGTATATTTTAAAACATGGAAAACCAAAATATGAGTAAATTAGAAGAGGAAAGCAATAAATAAGAAAAAAGAAGCCGTATTAAAAAATCTCTTCTCCCACCACCTTCTTCAAGTCCCTCTTTGCCTTGTCCATGTGTTTCTTGCCTCACCTTCCAGGGGGTGTTCAGAAGGCTTACATGACATGGCAGACAAAACTGACTTCAAGGTTATTAAATATTAGGTTCACTTTCTGCATACATTTCATTTATTTCCATATGCCCTTGGACTGTACCTCAAGTTCTTTTCATTGTTCCATAGTTGAGTAATCAAGCTTTAAAATGTTTACTAAATTGAAACGCACAATGGGTTGTATCTTATACCTAAGAAGTTCATGCATGCCCAGACTGACCAGGAACCTTGAACACCTGTTTTGTTTTGTTTTGTTTTTCTACTCTCCTCCCTTTCTATTTCTAAATCTTTTGAAGAAGTGTCTGTTGCAGACACACCAGGGGTTCTGAGTTGTCTTTGCTCCTGCAGTGCACTAATAGTGAAATTCATTCATCAAGGAAGACTTTTTTTTTAAAGTCTTTCAAAAAAATTCTTCAATTAAATATCCTGCCAACTCTTCTCCTTGATAGCAGAAATGGGTAAGAAACACTTAGATGCTGTTTAGGATAAAAGAGCTACACTATTTTTCCCACTAATTAAACTTTAAGTATTTAATTTATTACTAAAATAATTAATACATTAATGAAACCCTTTCTCCTGTAACTTAAAATTATTTTTTCACATCTCCTTATATCCTACTGGTCAAGAGATATTGCAGAGAAGAAAACCGAAGATGAACAATTAATTAATCATTCAAAATAAAATGAACAACTGAATGAAAATCACTTCATGGTGAAGCGTTTTGCATGGCTTGAAAAGAAAATAATTTATTCAAGATGTTAAGGCAGTGAAACAAATAATACAAAGGTGACACCGTGCTTTAAACAGCTCATCCAATGCAATATTTCTTAATTAGGATGGAATTTGCTTGGGATATGTGTGCCTTGAAAATGGACCAGAAAACGCCTCTGTGCATTTTACATCTTGACAGTAATCACTTGCAATATTCTGCAAGGGATACCCAGGAGAGCACCAGAGATGTTTGGTGGTGAACAGTAACAGATAATCAGTCTTTGAGAAGACAGTAAAAATCAGTGATCTGTGGTGTCTTACATGCTCAAGTCAATTAAATATGATTAATGACTACCCGTGAGAGCACTCAGGAGCTCTGCTTCCCCCTAGGGAGAGGAAGGGACAGTGGATGTCCTCTTTAGCTTCCTCCTTTATATTCCTAGAGGAGCTCCTGCCTGGAGCACCAGATTAGCTCCAGAAAATGCTTAAGGAAAGAGCACATTTCCCAAGCTGCAACAGGGGAGAGTTGAAAGTCCCTGCGGAGCAGGCTCTCTTCTTCCTTCCTACTTTCCCTTTCTAGGCAGTCCAGTGAGCAGGACCTTGCATGGGAGGGAATGCTTTCCTGCGTGGCTCCCGTACCAGCAGCCTGGAAAATGGGACACTCCCCGCACTGTATCATGGGAAGTTGGGTCAGTTTCATTCAACCTACTTTCTGAGCCCCACGGCTTTGCACAACTGCTGAATAGGACAGATCAGGTTCTGGAGGTGGGGAATATCAATATGGACCAGAAAGAGCCACACCAGGTTGACCTGGTGATATTCTGTGTGGAAATGTAGATGTCAAAACACCCAGCGAATAAGCTATAGGTCACAGGTGTGAGGAAAAGCACACTCACTTGTGCAGGTGGAGGCTGTTGCACAAAGCCCTGTGGTGAGGCAGGGGCCTGGAGGACTTGCTGGGAGATGGGAGGTCCAGAGCCTGAGAACCCCCCCGTAGGGAGCTGCTGGCCTGTAGAGGCAATGACGTAGCTTGGCTGTTGGGTTGGCTGTGCCATGAGGGACGGCGGGTAGACAGGACCAGATGGGGGCTCAGGAGTCTCTCCTGAGGATTGCCGGCTCAGGTTCATCTGGGTGAACTGTGTCGCCACATCGTCTCTCTGCCCAGAAACAAAGAGGAAATTAGCAAGAGCAGCCTAGAAATGGGAGAGGCACACAGAGGCAGACACAGGCCACATGCTTGTCACTGTGGGCAAGGGAGGGCGCACCAACTGGAAACAATAACAGAAAAGGAATTCTCTGTCCAGAACAACAAGAGAACATAATAAGATTTTAATCATCCAGAGGATCAGAGATGGTAAACAATTTGACCAAATCTCCCTCTTCCAATGGAAACAAATCATTATTTTTTCACTAAGGGTTTGAGATCCTCGGGATGGTGCTGAGGCAAGGAGGGCTTGGTGTCCTTGGTCCTGAAAGGTCAGCGGGGCTTCCCAGAAGTAACCACAGTCTCTGCCCTCTGGAGAGAGGCAGAAGCCGTTGTATTCACCATCACCCACAGCTGCTACAGAGATGGAGCCACTATGGTGTCATGATATATTGGGGAGTATTTTTCACTGGCCTGGCCTGAAATTTCGGGGCAATGCTCCTTCTCGATGTCCAAAAGGACCTAGTGCATTGTGGGGAAAGGAAGAAAGAGTGGGGGATCAGGGGGCTAGGGGAACCTCCCACATCAGTAGCACAGAGTGATGACCACCTCAACTAACTTTAAGCTGTTTCCCAAGCTGTCACGCTGAGTTCACATCTCTCTGTTTCTGACTTCGAACTCTCGGGGCATTCAATCCCTGCTTAGTCAGTAAATTCTTAAAAGGGCACCCAATTGCAGAAGCAGCAAACGTGGGACAGATGACAGAATGGCAACCATTATTTTGGAGATGGGTTGCAATGTTCTGGAATGAGACCCCAACTCATGCCCCCTCACAGTCAGCCGGGGGCACCCACCCAGCATCAGCCAGCCCTGCACAGGAAAGTAATAAAACTGGTGGACATGCTCTCCCAGGGGAAAGGTTGCACACATGGAATACGGTACCATGGGGAACTGTTGAGTTGGAGACACTGGCAGGAGATGCTGGGGAGGAAAAGAGACCGCTGGGTATTGCACTGACTGGGAGGAAGCCTGCAGCCCCTGCACCGACTGGAGGAAAGAAAAAGCTGATCAGGTAACGGGGAAGCACTGGGGGTGGAAATCCCACAGGAAGGCTGGCTTATCGGAAGCACACCACCTACACCACCCTACAGGTCCTCTTGGCTCGGTGCACTCCAGAGAGGGGAACCAGCCACCACTGGGAAGTCAACGCCAGGCAGAGCACAGCCAGCCAGCCTTGCAGGACGCATGTTTGCTCAGAGTAAACACTGCCTTCAGAAGTCACTGCGATACTTTTTATGTCATTGTTGTTAGTCAAATCCACTGGGTCTAAAGATACTGCGCAAGGACTGAGAAGTAAGGGAAAAAATTACAAACGAGGTTCACTCTGGCAACCTCCTGGGAATACCACATGTTTCTGTGGCAATTTCCATGTGTTGCTCTAGGAAGGGAGGACCACTCTACATCTCTTGAAGAACAGGCAGGCCACCTCAGAATGGACTGATACCTGTTCTTCCAATTGATGAAGCATTCAGTACTATCCCTTTGCAGACATGAGTCCTTGGTCTGTGTTGGGAATGAGTGAGCAAGATGATACGAAAGCCTGGTTGAGGTTATGGGTTCAGTCTCCCAGACAGGCTCTGTGATGCCTTAAACGTAGCATATAGACCTCAGAGAAAACTTGGCATTCGTTTTCCCTAGTGCAGTGTGCTCACCATGCAAATCATTGGATGGGGCATTCACGTCTATCTAAACTTGAGGATCCAGATGAAATCTTATCAACTTGCTATCAAGGGCTCTAGGCCGCCAGGTCTTACTTATGAGTGGGTGGAAATGGCCCCAGTGAAAAGTATCACCTCCTCCTAAGGCACCAGTCTCTGCTCTGAGGACTCTGCAGCCTTTGCCTGGGAACACCTGCCCTCCCCGCCTTCCCACCAGCTCCTACCTGAGTGACCAGTGGGCCGGCCATATGTGGCTGGTGTGACTGAGGAGAAGGCTGTTGCTGCGGCGGTGGCTGGGACTGCGCCATCATCGAGCCTCGCAGGGGCTGCTGGCTGGTGGGGGGGTTGTATATTGCAGGGGTTCCGTCGGGATTCACAAAGGGCTGGCCTGCAATGGAATCGGAGCTGGGTTCAGGTGAGCTCCTTGGTCTCACCTTTAGCAGAAAGAACCATACTGATAGATACGCAACAAGTAACCCAAGGTAAAGGAGCAGGGCGGTGGAAATCTAGGACAGTGGAACCTTCACCACCATGAAGACTTTCCTGTTTATGACCTATCTGCTTCAGCTAGCTAATGGTGCGAGCCCAGAGCAATTTAAGAAGCAACGAATAAATCCACTGCCTTCAGGGAGATTTGCTAAAGCTAAGCACGTCTGTGTACAGTGGCGCCCAGTGGAGAAGGCCTGTGGAGAAGCAATCTTCACGAAGCCGTGTGTTTGCCGCCTGCACCTCTCCATCATCAGCAAGATCGCACACGCTGAGAGATAGGGCTGCCTTCCCTTTATAGAATCCCGGCTACCCTGGGTTACACATTATTTACCAATACACTTGTTTCGCTTCCACTAGCCTTGTTGCCAACTCAGAATGGCAATCAGTGCTACTGATACATACACAACAGAACATACCACATCCACACACTCGCTTCTCTAAACAGACACAACAAGGAGCACGCAGGGGTTCAGATTTTGAAGATAATGCATAATACAAGCATCACAGCATCATCTCCTGATGGTGAAGCAAATATACATTGTTTTGCCTTTTGAAATGATGGCATGGATGGCTCACTATTGTTATTACTATTATTTGAGGAGGATTTTATGGTTTACAAAATAGTATCATCAGATCCCCAGCATGACTCTGGGAGGAAGGACAGTATCATCTTCCTATGTTGCACAGGACGCAATGAAGGCCCACCAGAAAGGTCACAGGAAAAAGGAAGGAGTCGAAGGAGCGGCAGATGGAAGTGAGGGAAAGTGGAGGGAAGGAAAGGGAGAACCAATCAAATTCCAGGGTGGCAGGAACCTTACACACATAGCTCAGCTCTTCCAGTAACCCCGCAGACATGCGATCTCATTCCACTTTAGAGACAAAAAATCAGGGCCCTCATGGGCCAAGCAACTCACTCAGAAAGGCCAAACCAGTATGCGAGAGTCAGGAAATGGCCCTGGTCAGAGTGACTCCAAAGTCCATTCACTTCCCATCACACCAAATAACTTCAGTGGAGTATCCAAGTTTACATAATGTGTACGTGCTACAACGAGGTCTAATGACAAAAATCCAATCATAACTGAAAATCATTAATACGCGAGAAGTCAGGAGGGGTGGGGGCCATGTTTTAAGGTGGAATCACACCCAGGACTGGCAGGTAAAGAATGAGAAGAATCAGAATATTCTGATTTGCATTAAGGGGATATCAGAGGCAGCTTGTTAAGTTCCTCCCAAGCACATAGTTGAAAGCCTCCCTTTACATAGTTTCGGTATGTGGGGTTCACAAGAGCATGTGATGGCTGAGGAAAACAGCCCTTTTCATTAATAATATATATATGAAAAACAACCAAAGATCACCAGTGATGTGCGGAAAATTAGCAACAAAACAGAACAGGTTAGAATGAAAATAAAAAAAAACGGACCCAAACGAAACAGTATTCTAGTGGGAAAAAAAAAATGTGTGGTATCCAACAAGAACAGACTGTTATAAAATTGGAGATAATTAGCCAATATACACCAACTGAAAGAAACCAGTCCCCAAAGGGCAGCTATTAGGGAAACGTACAACTGCATTTCTAATACCTTCAAGGTCAGGCAGAACTTAATGGTAATGGAAGTCAGAAAAGTGGGACCTCTCGGGGGGCAGGAGGGAGCCTCCCGGGAGACTAGTCATGTCCTATGTCTCTTCCAGGTATTGTTCACACAGGGGTTCATACATTCAAATACCTGCCAAGGCTACAGGCCAGGTATGTGTGTTTGACAAATTACAGTGAGAAAATATTTTAGAGTAGGTTTGGAGTGCAAACGGGGGGGTTGTAGTGAAGCCAAACCAATTGCTCCCAGGACTTGATTTCAGACCCATTAGGAACCGTAATGGGAGCCTAGTGTGCCCATCATTGCCCCACATTTTCAGCCCAAATATACGTGTGTGTGTGTGCAACGTGAAACCCTTAAATGCTGCATATTCATGAACTAAGGAAATTCTGACAACAGTTTCATAACCAATCACAATGTGCTGTGATGGAAAAGCAAATGTGCCAGAATTATAGTCCCAGAACAATGACTAAATTTAGAGGTATTTAAAAAAAATGTTAATGTTCTTCATAGGCACTTGTTTTCCTATCACTGTCATTTAATTTTAGCCACATTTAATTGTTTTAAATGTTTTATTTTTTCAAAAATAACTTTCTTCTGGATTTAAAATCTGCAACCCATTTTTTTCTCCCCAAAGCCTCAATTTGGGAAAGAATGAAAAAATAGTTCAATTTCCAAAAATCTATCAGCCCATTTGGTGTTCTAATTCTTAGTCCCCCTCCCTTATTTTATATTGCAAAAAGAGGAAAATTCTGGATACCTAGCATTTAAAAAAATCTTCACAGCAACTTTATTTCAAAATCAGTCTCATTCTGTGCTCACACACACACACACACAACACATATACAGAGATGGAAACTAAAAATAAAATGATCTTTACTATATTTCCTACGACTTCCAATTTACCCCAGTGAGAAGTAAGGTAGCGTGAAAAACAGACCATAATTAGGGTGAAAAACATTACCACAAATTATTCAGGTGTCCTTTTTGATAAATTTTAGATCCTCTGTGTGAAATATTATTAATGTGCTATGAAGCAGACAAAAGAAATGTTTCCAAATAATTGCCTATGAAAAGTACTCAGGACTCCCTTGGGTAGAGAGAGGTGGCAGGTTCTTCTGGAAGAGAAGAGAGAGTATAGAAGACTGCTTTTATGCTCACTAAGGAGAGGTGGAAAGACGTGAGAGACTGAAATAAGTAAGATGGATATGCCAGGGAAGGGAACAGACATGATTTCCTAAGAGAGTTAGGACAGGTGACTATTGGTTTTCAAGTCAGGCAACACTGGCCTCTCTAGATGCTGCCATTTCTGCTAGTCCAGATGCAATTACAACTGGATACGGGCAATTAGTTTGAATGACAGCTGCTGAATACCAAAGGGGAAGGAAAGACGATTGGCCCTAGGACCATCCAGCTTAAAAGAGGTTTTCGTGTCCAGAACTGCGCGAGCATGCCTGGCAGGCCCTGGCACGTGTGTTGGCACAGGTAAAGGGTGCAGGCAAGTCGGGCTGCCACGAGCTGGCCGAGTGCTCATTCCCCTCAATACATGGCCTTAGGTGGAAAACTTCTCCACTCTCCACATCAACATGAATAATGTGCTGTAGATATTATTTTTTTTAAGATTTTATTTATTTATTTTAGAGAGAGAGAGCGAGCAGCGGGGAGGAGCAGAGGGAGAGGGAGAGTCTTAAGCAGACTCCCCGCTGAGGGCAGAGCCTGATGTGGGGCTTCATCTTAGGACCTTGAGATCACAACCTGAGTGGAAACCAAGAGTCGGATGCTAAGCGCCTGCGCCACCCAGGCATCCCGTGCAGTAGATATTATTTTACTATTATATAATTATTGAACCTTGCATGAAGACTAAGACTTGGTTATCCATTCCAGAGATGCAAAACAAAAACAAAAACAAAAAACCTGAGTCTGATTCCTCCCCACAAAGAGCTTATAAATATGCTGGTAATGAGGAAATGAACCCAAGGGCAATTCACACTAGAAACAAAGTAATCAAATGCTCTTGGTTTCTAACATGAATGCATTTCTGCCATGTATTTGGCAGAAGGGTATTTATTAAAAAAGATAGCGAGGCATGAGAAAAAGAGATTTTCCTTTCCTAGTCCTTAGAAGGTGATCAATCAAATCATAAGGATGCTGCTGATTATGGATAAGCTAAGGTTAATTCAGATCTCGCAAAGATACGTTGAGGGGCATGTCACACACAAAATCTTCATGGCACATTTAAGAAAGAGGTGGAAAAAAATAAGAAAGAAGTAGAATAGATGCCAGAAGCCCTGTGAAAAATACAAAGTGTAGTGTTAGGAGGATCCATCAGGAGCATTTGAAAGAGATGAGCCCTAAAAGGCTGCGCAAAGCCAAGTCCCAGCCGATGGCATGCCCTTACATCACTCGCTCGTGAATTTGCGCCAGATGAAGGCAAAGCGAAATGGCAAAACAAGAGATATGGGGATTAATGAGTACTTGGGGGATGTTAATGCTTGTTGGCATCTCTGGATAGCTCTGAATTGAAAGAAAATAGCCAAACAAAGATGAGCTTTCTGCTAAAAATTTCTAAAAGGAGGCCAAGTCAAAGACAGCAGGAAGAAGATCAAACTCAAGAGTCAAACCCAGGCTTGCCTTGTGAGGATGAATACATTATACGGGGATAACTTTGAAAAAGAGCCTCTGCAGCAGCTCACTCATCTAGAAGCCTGAAAAGCAAAGAAAGGATAGGCCAGAGGTCCTGAGTTAGAAACAGACTGGCTGAGAGCAGAGTCTAAGGCCAGACAAAATAAAATGTTGTGATTGCATTTGGGGAACTGCGAGAATATATGTGGGTGGGTTGGTTTCAGGTTGCCGAATATTTGGTACTTAGGAAGAGGCAAGTCAATTGTGCCCACAAAGGAAGTTTCATTTTTGTTTCATTTGGTAGACATGACTGGCAGGCACCTTGGTATTCTCAAATTATTGCTTGTCTTCTGTCTGCTTAAGACAGATACTTTATGAATAAACAGACAAAAAGCAGAATCAGACCTATAAATACAGACAACAGACTGGTGATTGCCAGAGGGAGGGGGGATGAAGGGATGGGCAAAATGGGGGAAGCAGAATGGGAGGTACAGGCTTCCAGCTATGGAATGAGTAAGTCATAGGAATAAAATACACAGCATAGGGAATCTAATCATTGATACTGTAATCATACTGTATGGTGACAGATAGGAGCTACACTGTGGTGAGCCCAGCATAACAAGCAGAGAAGCTGAATCACTATGTTGCACACCTGAAAAATGTAACATTGTGCGTCAACTATACTGAAATAAGAAAAAAATTAAAAGACAGGTATTTTATCATAGTTTCATACATGAACCACATTCTCAAATATATTAGATAAAAAAACTGTTCTACTATGCTCATCAACATATGAGTAGTAGATATTATTTCAATACTATGTAATTTTTGAGCACAGTACCTAAGACTACTTTGCTATCCACTCTAGTGAAGTAAAAAAATAGCCAAGGATGGCCCCTTCCCACAAGGAGCTTATAAATGAGCTGGTAACAGGGAAATGAATCCCAAGGGCTATTCACACAAGAAGTAAAGTAGTCGTATGCCGTTGGTTCCTAACACAAAAGAATTTCTACCACATATTTAGGGAAGGGGAGAGGTGTGGATTTCAGGAGTTCACAGCAATGACAGAGAAAGATGAGTTCCAATCCAAAGGAGGCAAATTTCCAGTTTCAATAGTAGAATCATAGGAGATTAAATAAATAGATGGATGGGTAGACAGACAGACAGACATGCACACATACACACCATAGATAGACACATACACACATATATGTATATATGATACATAATGGATCTGTATACACACACACACATGCATATTTTCAATATACAAAAATAAACACATTCTAGGAAAGAAGAAACATAATTTCCCTTCCATCCTACCACTCAACCATGGTATACAATATATTAATACATTTTCTTTCTGGTGTTGGGATATTTTAATGTCAAGCATTTGTCAGATCAGAGAGGTGCATACAGAGAAGCTACTCGACAGTGTGATTAGATCCTTTTCCTTGCTTAGGATCCTTTTTCAAAGGACATATTTTGGTAACAGCTCTAAATGACTGGATCTGATGCATAAGAATTGGGACTTGACACCAAAAAGCACTTTGTTTCTTTTTCTATAAGCAAGATTATACATGATAATATACACATAACACATGCACAACCATTATATCATTACAAATAATATTTCTTCATTATACCCTAAAAAATACTCTGTTGAGCTTTTTTGAAACACGGCAATTTTGCTTAAAACAAATGACTCAAAACTAATGTCTGTGTGTGCTCTTGTCAGCAAGCCCTCCGTCTCAATTAGAAGTGAAGGGATTTAAGCCAACAGAGTCAGACCATCCTTCGATCAGTGCCCAGAGTAATGACTATAATCCTGGTTTTCTTTTAATTTCCTTTTAGTACTTCCAATGATCCAAATAAAATAAAAGCAATCTAATATTCTCCTTAGAAGTATCTCTTCTGAAAGCTTTCAAATGGTTTTCAATAAAATGATTATGCCTTCTTTTCCCTCAAGCTTATGGCATTTTCAAAATGTCTCCATCAAACACCCTGCCTTGAGAATGTGCCATATGTTTTCATGAAAATGTGGCAATTATTCAAGTAAATATTTTACTATCATTCTCATGTTTCTCTGAATTTCCTAATTACTAGTAGTGCTATATATGTGAAAAGATTGAGTCAGATTGCTTTTATGAGATTCTCATTCACTTTTGCTTTTTCAAGTTTAGCTAATCACGGAAATACTCTGGAATCATCGAAACCAAAACTCGGACATTTTTTGAGACAATTCAATTTTTTTTCCAATTACTTATAAAGGCTTCCAAAGAGGCAACTAGTCAATGTCAAGCCTTCTAACCCAGGGTTTCCCAACCATGGCACTACTGATATTTTTGGCTGGGTAATTCTCTGTTGGAAGGGGCTGTCCTGGGCATTGTAGGATGTTTAGCAGCATGTCTGGCATCTACCTTCTTAGATGCCAGTAGCAACCCCTTCCTCTCTCAGTCATGTTGATCAAAATGTCAGTGGATATTGCAAAATGGCCTTGGAGGCATGGGCACAAATCCCCCTGGTTGAGAAGTTTCCCCCATGAGACAGATGCTTGTCAGTCTATTTGCCCAATGCTCTGGGTTCTTTGGAATCAGTGTGGATGTTAACTGACCACTAGAGAAATTAAAAAATAAAGAACCATTGATCATGGAAAAAATAATCATCATTGAAGTTACCAATTTTCCAAACCTCACCAAAACCAGTCTAGTCCTAGGATCCTTAAAATACATAAGAATTTGCTCCCTATGTCCTATTTGTCACTGCTATTCCTTATTCCCCAGGTGGAATTGGGTGAAATTCTAAGGCAAAAGAGCAACTTCTATAGGTAAGAATCTTTTTTTTAAAGATTTTATTTATTTATTTGACAGCAAGAGACACAGTGAGAGAGGGAACACAAGCAGGGGGAGTGGGAGAGGGAGAAGCAGGCTTCCCACTGAGCAGGGAGCCCGATGCAGGGCTCGATCCCAGGCTCCTGGGATCATGACCTGAGCCGAAGGCAGACGCTTAACAACTGAGCCACCCAGGCACCCTATAGGTAAGAATCTGCTATGTGTCCCAATTGATATCTCAAGTTTGTGAAATATCTTGGATGCAAAAACACTTTTGACATAATAAGAAGCTAAGCTGGGATTTAGTCTGCGAAACACAGTATCTTAATTAGTATTTCCCAGATCATCACTTTACGGTCTCTGGTCTTAGCTCCCAGGAATACCTGAGACACACCATGGTCAACACAAAGAGGATAGAGGGAAAAGTGGATATTTCTGGGAAGAATCTCTATTTATAACTACATATCAATATTGATATCAACATAGAGATAGAGATTACAGCTATAGATCTTCTCTTCCTAAATCAAGACCCTACACAGTGGTTCATGCACCCAGCTCTCCTGCTCAGGAATTTTAAGAAAACCTGCTGACGAATTTATAAGCCCCAAACACAAGAACAGAACTCTGATCTTGAGTCCCTGCCATAGCAGAGGTAAGGAACTAACCTGTGTGCGGATTGAGGAGGATGCTTCCGGGCGGGATGCCTGTCGCAGCCTCCAGTGGAAGGAGGATGTAGCTGGTGCTGGGGGCTGCCTGGCCCCCTGCTCCGCCCTCTGGATAGGGCACACAGCCCGGAGAGCCAGCGGCTACGCCCGTAGCCAGGGGCGCGCCCTGCAGGGGTGCGTGGGTGCGGGGCAGAGACCCCGAGGAGCCTGTGCTGCTGTTAGACTCAGAACCTGCCACAGAAGAAAAGGATCAGAAAATCATCCAACGCAGGGAGCTCTGGATCTAAATGCCTAGTTTACTTAATCCATCCTTAAACCATTCGAGGTGAGTGCTGCAGGACCAGAGCAACATTTGGGGCTCACATTTTATTGAGATATCTGCTACATATTTTTCAGATGTGTCGATTTCCTAGGAAAAGAGAGGTTAAGAATGAGCACTCTCTTTCAGCCTCTCACATGCCCGTAGGGTGGTACATTGGTAAATGGTACCCTAAAGCTTCGGACTCCATGCCTGGAGATGCCCATCACCCCGAGTAATTAAAGCCAGAGGGCTGTCTTACTGGAGGTAGGAGAATAAAATGCCAGGTGGATATTAAAGAGATTGCAGTTTAAGAAGGAGTCCTAGAATGTGCTGATCATGGCATCGCTCTAACGTATTGGTTCTCCAACAACCATAAAGCTGCATTTTGAAGAGGCATGGCCAGAAATAATCTTTTCCCCTCAGATGTGAGTAGAAGAACTGGGTCACTCCTACTGAGAGTGCTTAAGGTGTGTATTTCACATAGTCACAGAAATCTTACTAATGTGCCCAAGAGGCAGACCAAGAAGGGCTTGGCCTTCATAGAATGCTGGATCATCCTTTAGACAACACAGAAGAGTAAAATCATGGGGAGGATTGTGGACTGTGTATTTTGCAAACATGTAGGTAACTGGATTACAAGGTGGACTCTAACCCAGCCTTCTCCCTCTCCCTCCACTGTGGACAAGGAAACACCTGGTATATCCCACGTCCACTAGGCACTACCTGCCCTTCACCACGACCAGACCTTGACCATGGCTGTTCTGGCACCTGGTATATCCCACGTCCATTAGGCACTACTTGCTCTTCACCACGACCAGACCTTGACCATGGCTGTTCTGGGCACTGAATATTAACCAGAGCATTGGAGAGAAAATTCTAACTAGCAGATGATTTGGATGATATCATATAGTACAAGAAATTTTTAAAATTATTTATTAGCTCACGACTATCAATTTATGTCATTAACAATGCATTCTTCTGTGTCATTAAAGGGAAACCATATATAAGGAAGAGTTAACATTGTTTTCAAGATTCTAACATGTGCCCTTGAATTAAACTGGAGACCTTTAAAAATGAGTGATAGGAATACAGCATGTAATTACAGAGAAGAGGGGCCATTGGAGAGAATTTAGAGGAGGACATAGTTTTTGAGAAGGAAGACAGTGATATTTATTGAGCGCTTAGTATGTGTGAGCACCTGGACACACTGTACTAATAAGTACTATTACTGGCTATACAGATAGGGAAGTTGAAGGATAGAGAAGTTCGATAACTAAAGCCGACTTGTACAGCTAGTGACAGAGCGGGATATGAGCTAGACAGACTGATCTAGGTTTAACTGTGACCCAACATTGCTTCCTGAAAGCAAGCATATATGTATGCCAAGGACTGCCACCAGTGTTCTCAGTTGGGAACCTTCTCTTCTTCTCCCACGACTTGATTATTAATAATGATAAAGTTATAGGCTAATTCAGGATGCACCATCTAACAAGTTTAGAATGCTGATGGGTGCTGAGTAATGTATGGGGGAAAAATAAAGAATCTAAAAGGAGATCTGAAAATGCTAAGAGTAGTTTTGAGAGTGCATCCTGGCATGATGTCCCCAAGGTCGCAGCCCCAGTGCAAACTGCAGGGCGTGTTTGTGAACTTGCCCCATGTGATTTGATGCTACAGTCCAAGTTTGACACTAGTGCAGAGAGAACAACAGCAAAAGCAATAAACCATAACAAAACCTTCTGCCGCTAAATGCTGAAGTTCATACAAAATAGGTTCAGCTCACCTCCAGGCTGAGGGGTCAGACAGCGGGAAAGGGTTGGGACTAACGCGGCATGTCCTGAGTAATTTGAGGTGTCAGCTGATGCTGGCAGGGGGAGGGGGGGTTAGGAGAGGGGATGGATGCACACAGCTGATGTGCCACAAGAAAATCCAGAGTGTTTTTTCTTTTTGACTTTCAGAAGATGGCTATTAATCACTGATGTGCAATATCATGTCCTTCTATCAACAGGACAAGAGCAGCACCTTCAACAAGAACAATGAGAATGCAGTGCAAAGACAATGTAAAGAGTCTGTTTCCACAGGTTAAAAGGATAGAAAGGAGACGGATTTAGCTTAAACTCTCAACACTTGCAAAGATGGAGACAGTGAACCCTCTTTAGGGGGGATAGCTCAGCAACCACCATGAAGCCAGGGTTAGTAACTGCCCTTTTTGGCTGGCTTACAACCAGCTTTGAGCAGCCTGTAAACATCAGTCTCTGTTGTGCATACAGCCAGTGTTACTGAAGTTCTCGATCAAAAATGGACGCTAGCAATGGTGATAAAAGGCACAGGATTAGAAATGTTCAAAAAATAAAAAAACCCAAAATTGATATTTGAGAACTTTACTGCTTTGGGTGCTGAGAGTTAAAGTGTGTCCAGTCTCCTTTTCTCAGGGACTTGAATGTTAACAATGGCAAATATTTAAACAGTATGTCTACGTGACAAGTGCTGTGCTAATCACTATGTGAATTACCTAGTTTCATTTTCACAGCAACCTCATTTTGAAAATGAGAACTGATCCTCAGAGATGTTAAGTAAATCTCCCAAGCATACTTCATGTGTGGCAGAGTCTGCGTTCAAACCCAGGCAACAGGACCACGTGGACCATGCCTTACTCCAGAGTGACATGTAGGTAGGGCCAGGGCCCTGACCAGGACTGTGCCAAGTTCTAGGAGATACAGCATAGGAAGTCAATGTTGCCCCAAATCAGATGCTTAGAAGTGGAATCTGGACCCTGAGGGGCAGCTGGTGGAAGGTGTAGGGACAAGACTTCAGGATGACTGATGGGGGACTCTGGTGAACACCCAAGAGAGAGACAGGAAAAAGGAAAAGGGGAAAATGGGGGGGGGGAAGGTCGTGTAAAAGATTGTAAGGCAAAGCAAAATGGAAAACTGACTGGGCAGAGAGGAAGGGTGTGGGCAGTTTCCCTTGGAATAAGGGAGCTCTCCCATTGCCCAGGGAGGAAGCATCCTGAGTATTAGTTCTCGTTCTGCCACTGAGTAGCTGTGTTTTCTTCAGGAAGTGATTACTTCTTCTTTTTTTTTTTTAGATTTATTTTTTTATTTGAGAGAGAGAGAGAGAGATTGTGGTGGGGAGAAGCAGAGGGAGAGAGAAACTCAAGCAGACTGCGCTGAGCCCAGAGCCTGACGTGGGGCTTGATCTCACAACCCTGAGATCACTACCTGAAAGAAACCAAGAGTCGGATGCTTAACTGACTGCATCACCCAGGCACCCCTGAACTGACTACTTCTTTAGACCTTAGTATCCTCTTTTGTAAAATATAAGTCACCAGACTAAATTGTGAGTAGCTATGAGGATGATGGCCTTAAAGTTTTTCTCAGCTTGACCAAACTTTAGACGGGTTTCTTCCAGAGGAGCGTCCCTCTACCTGCTTTTTCTTAGAGCATTTCTGCCCCTTTAGGGTGTAAATCTTCCACTAGCCTCTTAGCCCAGGTATGTCTTTCTTGAGGATTCAGGAGCCATCTCTGAAATGTAACAATCAAGAGAACTAGTGCCCTTGTCTGCCAGTTTCTGTGGGAGGGTAGAAAGAAGACTGACTTTGATAAGCACCAATCAGCGAAGATGACTTAGTTGAATTCACCAACCACCTGTCTACCTTTCCTCAGTGCTTTTCCAGTGATTCACTACAGCACTCCCCTGTAAGTCGTTAGTGCAAGGTTGAGTTCAGTCTTTCACCCCTATTGCAGTAGTCTTGACCCTTATTGCCATAGTTATGAACAGAATCTTCCTTGTCTGTTTATCTTGTCTGATGCAATTCTTCTTTCATAAGGACCCGGAACCATAAGTATTTTTTCCTGAATTAATAATTCAAGAAAATATTTCCAGATTCAGGGCAGAAAATTCAATAGAATGACCTGAAGCTTCTGAAATTACAAGAAGAAAGAGAACATCCAGGATGCATTAGCACTGTAATGAAAATAAACACGAAGAAGAGGAAGTGGTAGAGAGATGAGGTGTCTTGCATTGGCTCCAAAAATACTCTGGAATGTAGACAAGAAGGTGACAACAACAAGAATACCCTTGGATCCCCAAAACAAAATACCATGCCATGTAAAATTACTAAAACAAAACGTAAGGATATCTTATTTCTCCAGAGCATTTGTTCTCAAAGCATGATTTGAAAACAAGCAATCTGTGTTTTTACAAATCCTTCAGGTGATTCTGGCACAGCTACAGTCGAGAACCCCTGCTCTGGAGATCGAGAGAGAGGAAGATAGTAAAGCAATGTCCTCTGACCAGGGTGGAAAGAAATAGATGTCATACTCCTTTCCCAACCTCATAGCTGCGACCAAGAAGCAGCGGAGGTTATGGTACAAGCACCGTTCCTGTCCTCTCCACGAGGAGGATGTTGTGACAAAATGACATCATCTACCTCTGGAGCCGTGTGCTGGGCATCTGGTAGGTGACAGTCACTAAGCTCAGTGTCAGGGATACGATAAGGGAAAGACAGCCCAGGCCTTCAGAGCATGAGCTTCTGTATTCAGACTTCAGCAATAAGCTCCTTCCAAAATGTAGGAAAGCATGTCCCCACCTGGAGAAAGTCTCATCATTATCTATTTAAAGCTCAAACCTATGTAATTAGAGGAGGAGAAGAGTAACTTAAATGTCACAACTCCAGGCTTGATTTCTGAAAGGTCAAAAAAAGAGTTTGCAATTCCACTGCGAATAATGAGGCAAAAAATTGAAAACTTGTGCTGTTCTGAAGATCCATGACAGCAAAACTGACAGCTTTGCTTCATAAAACCATCTTGGGAAATTGTAAGCTTGTTTTGACATTCTATCTTGATCGCCTTTAATTTTTTTTCTTCTTCTTTTTTTTTTTTTATTTTTGCTTTCCGTTCCTGCACCTTGACAAGCTTTCAAAAGGAGACACTTAGATTAAAAGGGAAAAAAAATGTCTGAAGCACTTACAATTTCTAATCATTCTTCAAAGAACATGGCATTTTAGCATTCTTGAAGTGTTTTAAATGTTTCCAAAGAGCTTTTCTTTGGAAGTGATTGGGAGTTTGGTGTATGGAGAATGACGATTAATTTAAAAATCTTAAGAGCTCTTTTGGTGTGCTGGCATTTTTAAGTGCACCATTTAAGGTCCTTGGTTTCTGCATTTTAAGGAGATTTAAAACTATTTAACCTTTCTTAGTTTACAAGAGCTCGAGAGCACCACAGTGGGTTTTCTTGACTTCAGTTGCTGCAATAGTGGGATATAAGAGCAATTAATTAGAGTAAGATATCAAGAATTCACCATTGGTGATATGACAGAAGGCAGAAGGCAGTGTGAGCCCACCTGAGTCTTTCCAAGGAGAAGGAAATATGTATATATATAGTACTGTCTGTGACTAAATGCTATTAGTTTTCTGCCTGTGTAGGAAAACACGAGATAATTTCTTAGGAGCATTTTCAACAACATAATTATCTTAAACCATTAGCATAATAAGCCTAGATTTCACAAAGAGTGCCCCCTAGCGTGAGTATGAAGCTTGAATAGGAAAGTATTCTCAAATTAGGGCAACCATGTCTAATCTCTGGTCAGTGTTGGTCATTCACCATCCCCGTCCCTGCCCTGCAAGCCCAGGTCTGTGAATGCACCCCCAGTGTGTCTGACACCCAGGGCGTGTCACTGAATCACAGCTCTCGACCCCCACCCTAGCTCCGAACTTCTGAGGCAAAACCAAACAGAAACATTACAAATTATCATCACACACTGAATTCATGGAGAACTACTGAAGGGTCATCTGTTACTGTCCCGGGATTCTAAGAGGTACTTTGAGAACATTTAAAAATAATTTGGAAACAATGGTGAGGGATTTTGGAGACGGAGGAGCTAGAGATGGCAGACCATGATGGGGATTTTTGGACTCATATGAACCCCATGGTATTAAAGCTTCCATCAGTTTAAAGTTGTTTCCAGGTCATGGTTCTCATTAGTGCTCACCTCCCAAAGACTGTCCATGCAAACTTGAACTACCTACCTCAAATGATCACTATTCACTTAGAAGAAAACACAAGGTTAAAAAAAAAGAGATACCCGCACCTGGCTACTTGGAACTCTAAGCCTTTCTGAGGCTCACTTTCCCTGTGGCAGTAATAAAAATAAACATGAACTCATGTTTATTGAGGGCTTATAACCTGCCAGGTATTATTCTAACTGCTTTGTGTATATTAACTCTTTTAGTCTTCAAATAACCTTGCAATATAGGGACTACAATTATTCCCATTTCTCAGATGAGGAAACCAGGACACAAATAGGTTAAATAACTTGCCCACAATCAGACTAACAGCATGCCAAAGCAGCAGCCAAAACTATTAATATTATAATTGCCTTACAGTGTGGTTTTAAGAAATTGATCATAGTATTAAATTAAAAACAATAGCTAGCTTTCGTTAAATAGTTACCTTGTGCAGGTGCCTTGGTAACCATTTGTATATAACTAATTGAAATTTAACATACAATAGTTTGCTGGGGCGGTGGGGAGTGGGTAACGTCATATTCTATAATAACCTATGTTTCATAGTGTGAAAGTTGAAATGACATGGGGCACTTATGTTAAGAGGTTTTCAAATGGAGTCAGGAGGCCATTAAGTAGATGGGCGTTTGACACGTCCTCACCTGTAGAACCATGAACTTTCGAACTGGGCCAAACTGCAAAAATGCCAGCCCAAACACCTACAACATGCTATAGTAAGAGACGGCTTAGGGATAGCCTTTGAAACCAATTATATTCAATCAAAATCAGAGTTGTGCCACCAACACCAATCAAAAATTCTTTGTAAACAAGCATTCCCTTCTTGCTTTAAAAACCCCTGATTTTGCTCCCAAGTGGGACACCATTTAGGTTGTTACCCATATCTGTGTACCCTGAATTGCAATGCTTTGTTCCCAAATAAATGCTCTTGCTCAATTATTGCCTCCTGACAATTTTAGGTTGACAACAGATAAGGAAACCGAAGATTAGAGAGGTTGGTAATTTGACCTAGGCACACAGCTAGGAAGAGACAGGGTTGGTGTTTTCATTGCGCCTTCTGACTTCCCAGGTATCTCAGCAATTAATATCATCATCATTAATTAACCAGAAGCCACAGGGAATAATGACTGTATGGGCTGGGTGGAATCTAGGAAATACATCAGGACATAAACCCATTCAGTACTAACTACCTGCTTTGGACAATTTCCCGGTACTCCTGGAACTGGATGTGCTGTCACCCCTGGTCAGCACCGTGATGCCCCCAAAACTTGCCGTCTTGGTCATGGCGGGCTTGAGATTGCGGTTGGAGCTGTCAGAGTCTGTGCTGCTCCAGGCCCTCTGATGGTCCGGCCACTTGAGCTCATTCTCCGAGCTGCTCTGTCGACTCCCGGATGTTCTCCCTGAGCCATCTCTGTTGCCCCTGGAGCACAGCCATCGGAAAGATGCACAGGAACAGTGTTACATTCCATGAGAGGTATGGATCTAGAGGGGGACCTTTCCTGGAAGAGCCGTCTACACAAGACCCTTCTTGCAACCCTTTCCATTAAGCCTGTTGCCTCACAAACTGTGCCACAGATAGCTCATTGATGGGCAGACAGATAACATACCACACATAATGTCATGTTTACAAACAGAAAAACCAAACCTAGAAATGTCAAACCATCCCTCTGCCAGTGAAGGAGAAATAAGTAGAAAAGACTTGGTATAAAATACAGTTGTTAACTTCTCTTATGGAGAGGAAAGGAGGATAAATTCTCCTGACCCAAGTCAACAATGAGTCAAGGTTTGGGACCAATTATGATCTTGAATGATTCTGAAAGCAACTCCCACTGAAGACAAGTTTGTCTGTCCCTTTAGCGTTAAATAATGGACCGTGAGAAAATGCACACAGAGGCAGTGAAGCCGTTTATTATTTTCTAACTTGATGAGATGTCTATCTGAATTCATTAAGGCTTTGGCAGTCAGCACAGAAATCACGGAAATTACTCTGCTGACCTAGGGTGAGAGTTTTGCCCGATGAGTTTAACCTTCATGGGCAGAGGAAAGTGTCTTTTAATCCTTTTCACATAGAAAAACTTGTGATAATAACAACACCAGTATAAACACTACACTGACAGGACACTTTCCAAAGGGATCAATGGAAATAACAAAGCTCCATAGGTGAAAGAACACATTGGTTCAAAATCCAAATTGAGAAAGAGTGAATGTACGGGAAGAGGTCCAATAGGCAGACGTGCTTTCTGAAGACTCCAGAATATCTCTAAGTAGAACACAAAATTACATGTGTTTTATAGAGAAAGTTGATGAAATTTGCATTTTCATTGGTTTCCAATCTGCTTAAAGAGGAACTTAGTGAATATTTTCAAAGCTTTTCCTGCAGTTGGAAATAAGACATGATTAAAATACTCTAAGATCCTCATGGATTATAAGTAAGTAAAGGGGACATAAATCATGGGCAATAGATACAACCCATAATTTCATTATCACTAAACAATGTGATGTGCTCAAGTGTTGATCCAAATCTCACAGATGTGGTCAGTAGCTCTGTTAATAGATAGTCTTCTAAAGACAAAAATAGACTGTGGAGATGTTAGGAGTGTGTGCATCTGATCGAAATGCTCACCAACAAAATTGTACAGAAGGTACACAGAAAATGTTCACTTTTGTTTCAACTTTACCTAATAAACTTTTCTTTTGTTTTATGAGGACTTAAGAAGGTAAATGGATCCAAGAGATAAAAAAAATGAAATGGCTCATCTATGATAGGAACTTTGTAAAATGAGGGGAGGACAGAAAACTCACAAAACAAAAAGCACTCAGTGCCCTGCTGTCCTGCATCAATGTTTCCTTACAGTCTCTCTGTTAGCACCTCAGGATGGCTGGGTTTGGAAGGAGGAACTAAAAATGGACTAGATTGTGAGTAGAAAGTATCACACACTCACCAATGGTCAGATGGCTTGAGTTCTTAAAACTCCTTTGAAATTCAAGAAAGCCAGAGGAGGTGGGGGTAGAGGGGAAAAAACCCAGCCTCTTCGAGGGTGTGGTGTTCCATTCCTGATTGTTTTCCTTTCAAGTACCAAATTCAACTTTACTCTTTTCACATTTAATTCTGATTAATTTGACCGGTCTTTGACAAATCTTGGCAAAATCATTATTTAGCCACTGTGAATGCACCAAGGATGTGACAATAGTCTCACTTGGAGCTAATGGGGAATATTGCATATAGGAAAAGATTTGGGGTAGTCCTTAGCCTCAGCATACAAGATGCCTCAGAAGGAAGCTCTCCATATGCAGGTGATGATCATGAACTCTGCTTGAGTTTCTCTCTCCCTATGCCCCCTGCACCTCCGTGGGAGGAAATGCCAGTGTGGCTGACCTGTCTGCAAAGCAGTGTCCACCACTATTCCTGGGTGCAAACTAGTGTGCTGGAGTTTGCAGGCTTCACTCTGGCCGTGGGTAACTCCTCTAGACTTGTCCCACACCCTTGGCCAATAAGGCAACCTAAGATTTCCTTGACTTCTTCTACCTCTATTCTCCACCAGTTCAAATCAGCATCCCAAAGTCAAGAGCTCTCAAAATTCCCAAAAGAGGGAATTTAAGTTGCTGCTTTAGAGTTAGCATTAATGAGATTCATAATAATGCATCTAATTCTGATTTATGGATCTCTATTTATACACTGAAACAATAATTTATTGCTCTACCTACTGATTATTCACCTTAGCACTGGCAAAATGAGGTCCAGAATTGAATTTCCTATCTGTGTATACAATCATAGACCTCATAGACAAACATAACCACAAGTGCCTTCCTATCCCTCCTAAGCCCAGTCTTGGTCCCTTCCTACCAGAAACCAGGAAGACAATAGTAATGAGGTGTCTGGTCATCAAGAGGAGTTGGTCCTTGTGTATGTAATGAGAATTTGATCCCAGAGTGGTCATAAAGCACATACTTGAAGTTCTGTTTCTGTGCTGATTAATATAACTAACAACATTTATTTTCCTTCATGTCTGTACATGGTATTTTTTTTTTTACCAAGTTAGATATGATGTACACTTTGAGTTGCTTTTACTATTGTGTGGATGTCTTTGTGCTAAGTCATCTTCCTGAGTTTCTGTGCTTGGTGACTCGGTGGGTGATGGCACTCACATTTGTAATGACTGATCTGAGGAGATGGTAACTCTGGCTAGGGACCAGATTTGGAGCTATGTGAAACCAATTGGCCTAGAGGGGCAAGAACCCACATTTCATATATTTATCAGCCTAAGCAGGCCAGATCTGGTGTGAGTACAGGAGTACTGATAAATTCTTCTTGCTCTTCTCTGGGTTTTCAAAGGAACAATGCAGAGTTATTGTTTTAATCTACAAGTGTGATAATAAATGGTCTATCAATACAAGGGGAAGGCATTAGACTATGTAGTTCAGCCTAGAAAAATGAAGGACATTTTAAAAAAAATCTTTTTATTCCTGCCAAAGTGTGAGGGGAACAAATTAATCCAACTTTTCTAATGATGAGGTCCTAAATTCACATTTACTACAAAAAGATACTTTTTGAGCACACAATCCATTTATTTTTTTCCTTAGTCTTTTCTTCCTTCTAAGTGGGCAAGAGGTTTTGTTTGTTTGTAAATGAGTAAGTTTTCTCTCTCCTGCAACAGAGATGAATCCTAATATTCATCAAAGCAGTAACGTATTAAATATATGCATTACATATTGAGTGCATTGATAATGCTGTGTATCCTTTTTGCCCTATAATGAATATTAGAGGTATATTTAATAGGGTAGTGACAACATGGGTATGGTCCCCCTGTTTTCATGGAGCTTCCAGCCTAGTATATAACTTAAAATATACAATATTAATATATAATAAATACATATACATCCATTCTCTTTATCTTACACAGATCTTGATTTAAGTAATTCATCATAATTGGAAGCAATCCTGTACCTTCCCTTGGAAATAAAATCTGTGCTTGAAAAACATATTTGAAATATTATGATGGATAGTAGTGGCTAAAAATCAACTACTCAAACGGAGTTATCATTGGTGTTTTTTCCAGTATCAAGCATGTATATATAATTGCAAACTATCAGAGAAATTTTAACTTGGTGTAATTCACCAAAGTTGAATCTTAAATCAGTGTACTGCCAAAGTTAACCTTTGAGGGGAAAACAAAAACAAAAACAAAAAACCCACCAAAAATGGAAAATCAGAGGAAGAACCCGAAAGGATTATATACCAAGCAGTAATTTCCTGGTCCCATAGCTCAGCATTATCCAATATGGCTTCAGTACCAGCTCTGTAACAAGCTTTACAAAGATAGAACCAAACATATTTATTTCATGAACAGATATTTTATACTAATACACTTATATTTAACATTGATTCTGCCACATAATCTGAAAACACAGTTTTAAAAAAGTAAGCCATACCAACCGAAAGAGCTGTCTTTTCTTATAGGTCTCATTGCATATGTTACTGTCTTCCAAGAGCCTACTGGAAATGAAAAACATGGTTTTTATGATATAAAACCTAATGACTCTAAAGGCCCTGTGCTAAATGGATGTGTACTCTTTTGTAACAGTACTGCTCTTGCAAACCAACCCCGTGGACTATATTTTATGTGCATGATATTGAATTTTGCAATAATAAATTAATGACAGCATGATTTTTCCCCTATCCTAGGATTGAGGTACCAATACTTGATAAAAAGGAAAGGAAGAAGAAATAGAACAAATGGAAGAGGGGGAAAATAAAAGAAATTGATGTTTAATAGATATTTAATTAAATATACTCATTGTGATTTTTTTTTCCTTTGGGTAATATTAAAGTTATCTTTTTATTTTTTTTTAAATATTTTATTTATTTATTTGACAGAGAGAGACAGCGAGAGCAGGAACACAAGCAGGGGAAGTGGGAGAGGGAGAAGCAGGCTTCCCGCGGAGCAGGGACCCCGATGCAGGGCTCGATCCCAGGGTCCTGGGATAATGACCTGAGCCGAAGGCAGACGCTTAACGACTGAGCCACCCAGGCGCCCCTAAAGTTATCTTTTTTTGGGGGGGGCGGTTGCAGAGAATGAAATACTGACATTCCAAAGACAGGTATCCAAGAAATGTATTTATTTTTGTAGGGGAATTTACTCAATTAAATTTTTGCTTTTTGGAAATATCAAGACTTGTTCGTATATGCAATGCATGTATGTGACCAATTATTGTAATGATGAATATAATTCAATTTGAATCTAAGGAACACTTAAAGTGCATTAGCAGTCTTTTTATGCAAGATCCAAGTAAATGAATAAAATTTGGGCATAAGGCAGGGAAAATGATTGGCTGGATGACTAGGGAATAAGGTTTCCCACTAAACTGAATTATAAACACTCACTTCATCGTTTTAGTTAGAATATAGAATTTTGGAATGCTTCATCATCATCCCTAAGATGTTAGTGCTCATGGATTCTTAATTTAACTGTAAATAGAGAATATTCATGTAAATCTGAATGGATTTTTGAGGTTGCTTTTGAATGCCTTCTTTAGACATGTTTTCTACTTTCATCTATTCTTCTAGAAGAGGCGGTTCAATGAGGGGGTTAGCTACTCAAAGATTTCTAACTGCTAATATTAAAGATAGCTTTTCCCCCCCAAGCATCTCTAATGCCCAGTTTAAATTTTCTCTAAGTACTAGAATTTAATCAAACAGCCTCCATTTTAATCAGTTTTACAGGGGCACCCATTAAGCCGACCCCTGAAATAAAGTTAAGCACCACTTTCTGAAGGGATACCATATTTCCATTCCAACTTGCCCACTCTGCTGCACCTTAAATGTGATTAAAACAGTTAGTGTGGAATTCTTGAATTCCCCTTGAAAACCTGCAGTTAAATCAATGGAGCATTTGAATATCTATGTCAGTTTAGAACTATTTCTTAAAAGTATATGTTAAATTTGAAAACCTTTGGCTCATATGCTCAAGACTTTGTATAAGTTGTGTAACCCATTCATCCCTGCTAACTCCCAAGTTAGTAAATTTAGATCAGTTTAGATAGATTTCCAAGTTAGATTAATAGGTTGTTTAGAGTGAGAAACTTAAAACAATATTATTCCAATCATTGTTTGCATAGCTATATATAATTATGGGGCACAGGAAGTGGCTAATGATACCCAATATACAAATACAGTGAACAGTCTCGTCCATAAGCCAATGAAATTGCAAGTTCATTTATGCTTTGTAATGCCTGGTAAAGGTAACAGGAAATAGACCTCTGGAAGGACCAGAAGTCGAGACTTTACATAAGGAAAATGTACAAACTTATGTTTGGAAGTAACAGAAAAATATTTCCCCAAATTAAATAGTTTTTATGCATGCTAAATAACATACATGTGTACGCATATAAGTGTGTATGCATAGATATATGTATTTACTTATACATATATTCAAGCACACACTTATATATGAGATATATACCTATGAATATACAGGACACACATGACAGACTTTGTTCCTCTAAAGACATGAAAAAGCAAATTTCATTTTACCTGTTTTCCACAAAAAGGCTTTCCTGGGAGCAAACTGACTGAAAAATAAAAAAAGGCATTGTATCAGACGTTCTGGATGTGCTGAGGGATCCCAAATCCTTGCCTGCTTTTAAAACTACTTTTCCCCTCCAAGAGGAAAAGAATTAAGAAAAATATGTACTATGTTTTGAAAAAGTGGAAATAAAAAAGGAAAAAAAATGGTTAGAGTTAGAAGTGTAAACCATTCTCTTTCTCTTTCAGCACACAAGTACTTTTCCATCACGGCATCTCCAGGTTACGGATAGATTTAGCCCGTTTAGCATCAAGGTCAGGAGAAGAGAGATGTGAATGAAACTGTCTGAGAATCAGAGAACCATGTGACCATCGGATCCTGAGCTAGCAGTTTCTTCTGGGGCTACGGAGATGCAGCTCCCAACAAGAGCCAAAGGACTGGTTCAAATCAAGGCAGAGCATGTGCACTTAGCATGATCCACCCTGAGGATGGGAGAGCCATAGAACCACAATCCTGCAGTTATGACCTGGCAATGATAGACTCTCTTGAAATAAACAGACTGACTGCAAGACTCTCAAAATTGAAGAGATGCCATCAATCAATTTGCAGAGGGGGGGGCGCGCAGAAGACATGTGGGAACAAAATGAACCTAATCAGGAAAAAAAAATGTCAAGCCCATCTAATATTTTGTTTTGTTCTGTTTTTCACACAGAAAAACAATCACTTTCTTCTTAGCTTCCATTCCCCTAGCTATCACTTCTCCACTATCTTGTGTTTAATACACATAAGGAAGAGAAAATTCCATTACCATTACAAGCTGGGAAAGGCAAATTAAATTTTAACAAGCAGAAAAAGAGAAGTCTAAACCAAATATGGTGCAATGGCCCTATAACATAGTGACTGTGTTTAGGAATTAACAAAAAACCATTTTCAAAGTACTGAGTTTCTAACCATAAATATATATGCCATATTATACGTGCAGATTTTCTAAATGATGAATAAATGACATGCTAAATGAGTAAAATGAGACTTAACAGGTCCATTTTAAGAGAAAATAAAACTAAAGTAAATAAGGACCTTTTAATATCGAATTTTTAAAAGATTAGCTAATGTAACCACTACTCAGAGAGGAAAGCAGGATATTGGTTTCTCTGTACATTTTATTGAAGAAATCATTTCCTTCCACTAAACCAAAGGGCTAGCTTTGGGCATAACGTGTTTTCCTCAGTGGTCTGAACGTTTCAGTGAGGGCATCTCTAGAACCATTTGTAATTTAACCTTTGTGAATTTAACATGCATCCTGAGTATCAAGTGCACAAAAATCTTATTTAACAAAAAGCAAAAAAACCGATTAAGAAAAAAGTTTTTCAGAAAATATCTTTTTTTTTTTAGTTTTTTTTTTAATTTGACATTTGTATTTATAAACAAATACAACTTGTGGACCACTGATATTATTCCTGTGGAGATCTCTTCATAGTAAGTGAAATATCCCACTATCATCATTTCCTTTAGTTTGGTTTTACTCCCACTTTCAATCAAGTCATGGAATTAATTGGCTCAAGTATACATTATGAACTCAATACTTCGCTACTACTCAGCTCTTGTAGTTGGGAAGAGGTCAATTATGTTTATAATGTTCTGGCTGGATAATGGAATTGTTGAAACTTTACTACTTCTTTAAAAGAGTTGATCAAAGACATACTGACCTCTTCAGACTCATTAATCCAATAGTATTTTGAGGGAAGTTAAGCTGCCATAAGTCTTTGAATGAAAAAGTAAGGCACCTGCAAGTTGAAGATAACTCCCAAAAACGTATCTCAAGAGTATTTTTCAATTTTTGTGCAAAGGTCCTAAAGATTTATCGCATGATCTTCCAACAGTTTCATAAATAAGGCAGATATGGTTATGGGCTGTGATTCAGTAGCTGATGAAAATAAACTTTAAAAAAGTTATTAATATAACTTGTGAATTTTAATAGCAGAGAAAGATAAAAGTGTCACAGTAATTAAGTGCAGCATTCAAAGCTGTCACTTATATGCATTCTCAGATATAAAGGGCTCTTTTTTTTCTTTCTTTTAAGTAGAAAATAGTTTTGCCTAATGGGTTACAGAATTCTCTCCCACACCCCACTCCCAATCCAGGTGGCATCACATGCCCTTCTCAATGGTTGTCACGGAAGAGAGATCCCAGTGCATGCTGGGGAGACTGCAGATGAGCTCCTCCCAGAATCCCTATTTACACATAAATATCTTTCAGAAACCATCCTCCAGACAAAACATGTCTTTCTCAAATATATTGCTTTAGCAACGTAACTTGCCAAAGCCAGCAACATTGCATTGAATTAATCATAAAATAAGCTGAAATTCTTGCTGAAGGAAATAAGAGTTATATTTCAAATATTTCTGACTACAAAAATACACTCACTTTTTATTTGAGAACTAAATTGTTGTGTGCCTTGACTTACAACAACTTCATTCTCAAATAATAAATGTGCCTTACCTCAGGCTACCCAAATTCTCAAACTATATTGAAATTATTTTTCTAGAAAATCCTCAAATAATCTGCATATTTTGATTGTGGACCTAAATAAAAAAGCACACATGCACGTGCACACACACAAACACACACACCTTAGACACCAAGATACATTTGTAAAATATTCAAGAACGCTACTAATGTCAAAATAAATTTTGATTTTGCTAAAGTGTAAATACCAGGAAGTAGTTCTCTATAACTATTGTAACTTCGAGTAGGAAAAAACAAACAAAACCCCCAAAAAACCCTCTACGTAAATATGTCACTATTTGAACCTGTTTGAATGACTCCACTACTTACATAATCATTGGTAAGTGAAGCTGCTTTTATTACCTCAGTTTTTAAATCATGAAGACTCTAAATTAAAGGCCAGCTAAGAAAGACATTAGATGCCTGTAACTTAGTTTCCTTATGCTGGATTCTTTGCATCGCTTTTATAATTGACTTACTATACTTGACTTATTACCTTGTGTCCCTTGACAATCTGGGAAGTAGTAATGGTCATTTGGGAATCTGGAATTATACAGATGAAGACTCCCTAAAATGTTCTCTCTTTACGTAAGTGGAAAGGAAGATGTGTTACAATAGGTATTCAAGGAAGTTCATATTGTTATGTTATGTCCCTGTGTTTGCATTAATAAAAGATACAGTAATATCTTGTTAACACCTGATGGCCCCCAATGATCCTTGCTTCTCGGTATTCACAACCAAGGTTTTTTTTCTAGTACTTCCACATTGTACCAGTTTGATCTGTGTGTTCAACCAAATACAGCAGAAGGGAAGGTATGTCAGCTCCAAAATTAGGTTATAAAAGCCTGTAGCTTCCATCTTGGGCTCTCTTTATTTCTCTCTTGGATCACTTGCTCTGGGGAAGCCAGTTGCCGGGTCATAAAGATGCTCACTAGGCTTTGGAGAGGCCCACATAGTGGGAATTGAGATCTCCAGTAGCCCACTAGGAACTGAGGCCTGCCGAAAACCATGCAGGTGAGTTTGGAAGCAGACAACCACTCCATCAAGCCTTCAGAAGACCACAGCCCCAGCTGATGGCTTGACCGTAACCTCACGAAAGACTGTGAGCCAGACCTGGCCAGCTAAGCCACCCTCTAATTCCTGATCCCCAGAAACTGTGAGGCAAAAAGCATTTTGTGTGTTTGTTTTAAGCTGTCAAGTTTGGGGATAATCTGTTACGCAGCAATTAATAGCGAAACACAGGGAACACTAACCTTATGACAGCATTGTTTTTACAGAGCTGCAGGGCTAGGGAGAAAGCATTGGGCATCTTTTTTTTTTTTTCCCTCTGGGAAAGTGGCTTTTAACCTTGTAAGGGTGATGAAAACTTGTAAAACTATGATAAACAATCAAGATCTCTTCCTTAGAAAAATGTACCTACACTCAGGGACATAATATTTTGCAGATGATGTCGGGGACTTTATTTGATCTCTGAAGCCTTTCTAGGAGTATACTCTGGGTGCAGGATGCCAATTAAAAAACCCCAGCCCCAGGAGAAGATCAGGTGGAAAAGTAGTGCCAGAAACAGGCAGGTGCCCCACTTGAATTAATAACCCCGGGAGTGTTGGCCACCAGAGAGCCTTTCACAGCAGCTCACACCTCTACTCTACTCCTGCAGGGGGAAGAAGCCACAGTATTTCGAAGAAGGTTGCCAAATGATGCCATGGATTGGGAAGGCCATTGCAATAGCTTGGCATTTAAGCTTTGCCACACTTCAGTCTGCTTTCACTTTTCTTTTTTTTCTCAAGTAAGCTCCATGCCCAGCATGGAACCCAATTAAGGGCTCAAACTCATGACCCTGAGATCAAGACCTGAGCTGAGGTCAAGAATCAAATGCTCAACCAACTGAGCCACCCAGGTGCCCCCAGTCTGCTTTCACTGTTTTAAAAAATGTTAATTCAGCAGTTAGCTATCGAGGCTTGAAACAGCAATGCTTGCCTCGGATCTTTAACCTGGGGCCCAGGTTCCTTGCTGTTGATCTCCTTAGTAGGACTGTTGGGAAATGCAATGTGTACAGCGAGTCATGCTGGCCCTCTGTGGAGGGTCTCTGTGGACACGGGGATGCACACATGAACGGCAGCAGCACAGGAACATCCTCCTCATAGGCAAGCATCAAGGATGCTTTTCCTGTTGCCTAGCCTTGAGAGTCTGGCAATGTGGCGCAGCTTTGGGAAAAAAAAGCATAATGTTTGTATATTTATCTGGGTGATTAGTATTTGCTTTTCAACACAACTCATTTATAAATTTTATGACTTGCCAGAATGAGAATCAGAGGGAAATTGTGTGTGTGTGTGTGAGTGTGTGTGTGTGTGTGTGTGTGTGTGTGTAAGGCAGGGGGAGGGAAGGATGGGGAGAGAGAAAGCATAAAAAATAAACTGGCCTTCAGAAAACTTTCTCTCCATGAAGCTTATCGGACAGAAACACACTGCCTCCCTGTCCACTCGGGCCACCCCTACGCTACCATGAGTACAACAGAGCCTCTCCTTACTTCGTCCTTTTATCCAGGAAACACAATTAAAAGCCTACCATGTGTCAGGCTATCCTTTGCACCACCAATAACTTAATCATAAGAAAAGTCTAAGTAGCCCACACATATGCAGAATCTTCTAGGATTGCACGTGGGCAGTATCCTTCTACAGCTCCCTCTCTCAGACTCTGCTAACTCCAGAGCTCTGAGCCAGATTATTCAATCATTAAAGTTCTATTTTACTGTATCCAAGAAATGCAGTGAGGATCTAGAAGAGATCACAGAAAGCTGTGTCAACATGAAAGAAACGCACTGTTGGTGGAATTTGAATTTCCTCTGCAGCTTCATGCTGAAGGATCCAGCACGAGCTGGAGGACCTGGGAAACTGGCTTGGGCCTGAAACCTCCAAGGTCAGAAGTCCTCCTCCACCCTAAGCGGTGGAGACTAGGTCTCTAGTCTGGCTCAGTAATGGCCTCCAGAGCAAATCCCAACGGGAGGTAGGATGGCCCACCTAACCCAGCCAAGCCACGGAAGGTCTGCACCAAGGAGCTGCCACCTCTACGGTTGCAAAGGGAAGAGCCCCCAACATCTTCGGAGGCTGCCAAATGATTCCATGGCATGGAGAAGCTACGGCCCTCGCTTGCCCTTTTAGCTTTCTTGCATTTAGATCCAGCTGTTTTAAATCACTTTTTCATTTTTATTTAGTTTAATCGCATTTTATTTTGGCCACAGTGGGTAAAAGGATAGAAAAATCCCCACCACATTTTCTTTGCTGGGATTTGAACAAAAGAAATCATTTTATGATTATTGCCTTGTGACAAACTGCTCACAGACCTAATTTGATGTGAAACTGAGGGGGAAGATGAGTATTATCACTTAACTTTGATGTAACAAAATGCCTCTGCTTGCTAAGAAAGCAGAAAACTCCATGTTTATGTATGTGATTAACAGATTCTCTTTCTTTTCTATATGTCTTTCTTCTGCACCACGTTAGTGTTAGCAGGACAACACTTGGCTGTCTGCAGGCTAATTTGGATGTGAAGGCACTTTTTCAAATCTGACAACCTCACTGGGTCCATTTTAGTGACCAAAATCACGCCTCTATTCCCCCTTAGGTCACGTCCTAGGAACACACACAACCCTTGGCTACTTTTCCGTCACTTCCCTGAACCAGGTCCTCTTCCAGAAACACCTCTGGTGAGCTGCCATTGGATTTGTCCCTGGCTCCAGCCTCCTGAGTCCTACCAGCTGGCTGTCTGGGGAAGGACCGCACTAAAGAGGCAATTAAAACAACTACTCACATCGTGTGCAAATATTCTCTCCCTCACTCTCTGATATTCCTCTTCTCTCTCTTCAATTGATTTACTTCGTCTGTCATCTCTAAAGGGATGCATTCTGTTTTGCTGAACAGAAAAAAGAAATCAGTACGGTTATCCAAGTTGAGCTGCTGGAAATCTGCAGTTAAGCAACTGTCAGCTGAGAATAATAAATGTTCATTTAAATAAATGGAGCATGAAGAGTCTCATTCCCTCTGGTCCCTAAGGAGGCAGTGCTGGCATGTGTGGTGTGCTGTGTGTGTGCATGACACGCAGTGGCAGGTGTCTACTGCTCCCGCTGGTCTCCCCACTGGATGCAGGGAGTACAGCTGTTTCCAGAACGAAAGCACCTGGACGTGTGTCAGGTGTTCGGCCAGCTCAGCTATGACGTGGGTCACAGGGAGGGACTCTGTCTCCTTTGCTAGCCCGTGTGCTTTGGAGTCCTTAGACAAAGGAGGAATGCTGAGGAAGTGGCTAGTTCAAGGCGGCTAAGGGAAGAAACGGCTCTGAAAACCTGGGCACTAGAGACACAGAAAAAGGGAACCGAGCAAGTAATGGGCAGAAAGGAAACTGGACTTGATGTCTCCAGTCCTAATTTGTGTTTCTTCTTTACTCAATGACTGATCCTGTGCCCTGCGTTTTTGCATAGAAGGTAGAAGCTAAATTTGAAAAGCCTGTTTGTTGATTGAGGTCAATGCCAAGGAATCTAAAGTAACAATCCAAAGAACCCAGCATGAGGACTGTTCTTCAGCCTTGCATCTGCACCGCTGCCTGCATCTCAACGACCCTCCCATCGTCTTCTTGCCATTCCTCACAAAATGCTCTGCATTAACCACGTTCATCCATCCATTCAACAAATGCCCACTAAGTACATGACACAGGCATGTGGCTCGGAGTCAACGGGAGCTACTTGTCACTTGATGGTGGTAGCGGTGGGGGTAGGAAGAAATGAGATACAAATGACGAACAGGTTTTTTTAAAAAAAGTGCGTCAGAGATGCACGTACTGGCTTCCAGTGACTCACTGAGAGCCATTAAAGTAATAACTTCAGCAAGATGCATATTGTCTTACCTTTAAGAATTCTAAAGCAAAGTCTATTTTCAAAAAATCTATTTTGATTGTCAGAGACACAAAGTGTAATTGTAATGGCATTATATAACTCCCTACTGTTCTAATTATTGTTTAACATTTGTTTTCTTTTGCCATGCACTTAGTTTTCTTCCTAATCACCCAGGATGCCACCCCCCACCCCCAATCTGGAGAAGAGGTTTAGCAAAGTCTCTCTACCCTTGCCAAGGAACCATAAATAAGGCTACTCTAGGACAATGTAATGTTTTGTCACAAGCAAAATACACAAAAAGGATAAAGTTCTGCTACAGTGCATGCAAAACAAGCACACGGTTTACATGGACAGTAGAACGTGGGAAGGAGGAGCGGGGAGACTAAAACATGAACTCGATTCTTTTCTGTGAAGACTTATTTTAGGAGAGTTGCAAAATCCACCTGTCCTCACCATAACAAGGTTTGTTCTTTACAGCTACACCAGTTGGTCATCGGTCCATATTGAGAATCCAGCTCAATTTGTGCACAACTGAAGGACAAAGCTGTAGGAGTGGAAGGACTGCCATAGTTACACAGACATCTGGAAATGTGATGACAAAGCTTTCCCCGACAGCTCCGGCTGGTGGCATCCCAACCCGCCCAACACATGCAGCAGGAACTGCGCCAAGCACCACCCATGCAGCCCAACACAGAGCCATTGCTGAAGCAATCAGGACATGTTCTCTTGGCTACCCACTGAATGCCAGAGGGGGAGGCGAGGGGGCAAGGAGGTTGGAAAGAGGACAGTCAGTATCTGAGGCGGGGCGGTGGGGGGAATGGGGAGCTGGGGGAGGGAGAAGGGGACAACAGGACGACAAGAACATAAGTCAGCCCACCTTCAAAAACAACAATGTCAGCCACTCTCAAACTTGAGAACCAACCTGATTGTCTTCTTTATCAATACTAGAGTTATCTCGCTTCAAGATAAACCGCTTCTGGGATTCTTCACCTTTTTCATCTTTTAAATGTTCACAAAACCTTTGCTCTGGTCTGCCAGCAAAGTAAAACATATCAATAAAAAAGTTTTCCCCCCTGTTTAAAGTTATTTTCTTAGTGCTGTTTTTCCCCCACAGTGGCATTCAACTTAAAAAAAAAAAAAAAAAAAAAGAAGTTACGCATGGTTTTGACACTAGAATTGCCGGCATTATACAGATAGGTAATAATATGTCACTTCCCAGGTTTTGTTAGAATACCTTTTGTTGTTTGGAATTCGGAGCCTTGTTTGCTAAATGCTTCTCACCATGGCTGAAGTTAAAAAAACATTTTAAAGGCCTGAACATATATAGCGTATAGATGTTTTCTTTCATTATTTTGACCTCCACCGCTCCTGAATTCAATCAAGTTCACAGCCACATTGTCAAACAAATGCACATGTTTAGAACTTGGGCAGGCCATATTAATTCACCAATGTCTGCAGACTAGGGGGACAGCTCCTGTTATATCGTCCCACTCAAGTGCCATCAGAATCCATAGCGAGAGAGGATCATCTATAAATTCTTTCCATCTTTCTCAATGACAAATGCTCTGGAATCTGGCTCCTGTAGACTCTGACATCCTTGACCATGTCTTGTAAATCAGTTCAGTAATTGGGGAAACAGGACACATTTAGTTTAAACAACTTAATGGCTGATTAGCATGGGGGAAATGCTCCAAGCAGTTACACACTATTGATTAGTCAATTGATTTTTTAGGTCCTCTTAATCATTTTGTATTATTACTGGAAAGGGCTCCACGTTCTTGTTAATTTCCCACACTCATCACTGCATGCCACAGAACTCAATGAATGGCTCGGGCATGGGTTCACTCCCAGGGGAAGTGCTAAAATGTTTGTCCCGGGTTTAGAAGTTGTTATTGATGACTCTCATTAAAGCATCTCTGTCATGTCTGATGTATTACTTCTGAAGCCCAGTGGGTTTTCTATCTCTACTGGGTTCATTACGCATTCTGTATTGGAAAGCCACTTCTCAGTGTCTGTTGTTTAATATAGGTGACCAGTAATTAAGGGAATCTCATAATTTCCTTCTAGCTCCCAAATAAGCAAACAGCACGTTGAAAACAAAGGAGTCGTTTAAGTGTATAGTTCAAATCTTGACAAGATGCATCCTTTACTCAAATACGTGTACACAGATTATACTGATCTGTGAGCAGACACTAACAGAAAATTGGAATAATACCAGTTACGGCTTCCAGAACTGTGTATGATTTTTGCAAAATGGTATCATTGTCATACTCAATCCTTACACTAAAACTCTGATGTAGGAGGAACAAATATTTCATGCTTCTTTTACAGATAAAGAAACCATCCCTCCGTGATCCTTTTGACTCCCAAGTTTATAGATTTTGCCAGCAAGCCACAGGCATCAAACAGCCTATTCACATCCTTGCAGAGATGTGATTCAGTCTCTCTGCTTCCACAGCACACAGCAGGCCAGAGGCCCTCCAGCCTCACAAGGAAGAACAAAAACCCTGCATGACATCACCCGAAAGATCAATGGAGATGTTTTCCACCAAAATTAAAATGTAAAATATGATACAACAAACAATCTGCAAGTGCAAATATGGCATTTGAAAATGAGAACACTAAGGGAACAAAGTAAACTTGCACTTTATGGTGAAAAGGCCATTTCCAGTGGAGAAATTAAACGTGTCTTGTGTTGCATGCTTATAGCACACTTCTTATTCCACTGGATAGTCTTATAATGTTAGTGTGAGTATGGGCAGGCCACTGTAAATGATAACAATTCTCCAGGAATTTTTTTAAAGCCTCTTAATGTTTTCAGCCAATACTTAGATGTTACCTTTTTTTTTTCTTTTTTTTAATGTAGCAAGTGAAATTGGGATATCAACTTAGATACAAATGCTGATTGTGTCAATGCTAAGTAAGTCTCTCTGAATGTACTTAAACTCCATAGTCTGGTGAATTCTAGTAGATAAAATGCTTTGCTTGCTGCTAAGTTTACAGATCTATTTCTTATATTTGTTGCTAATAGTCTGTAACTGTTCATTTAGATATAAAGTGGTTTGGAAATGTGAACTTTTTGATTCACGAGCAGAAGGTGAATTTGCTTTAGGCTAACTTCTTTAAGAAGAAAACCGCTTTGAGATTTCAGCATACTAACCAGGGTGAGAATGCGAGCTCCCTGTTGGTAGAGACCTTGCTTTTTAAAGACTTAATTCTTAGTGCCTAGAATGGTGCCTGGAATATGGGAAGCATTTGGTTGAATAAATAAATTAACCAATGTATGAACAAATGAAAATTTAATAGAGCTGTTTATAAATCACTGTATTTTAGAGACAGATCAAAGAGTCACTGAATAAGATATGCAGTCATAAATTTTTAAATTATAAAATGACAAGAGAGAGTTTGGTTAGTAGAATCATAAATTCAAATTTAGAACATGAGGAAGATCTTTAAAAATCAAATTTATGGGGCGCCTGAGTGGCTCAGTTGGTTAAGCGACTGCCTTCGGCTCAGGTCATGATCCTGGAGTCCCTGGATCGAGTCCCGCATCGGGCTCCCTGCTCGGCAGGGAGTCTGCTTCTCCCTCTGACCCTCCCCCCTCTGCTGCTTTCTGTCTCTCATTCTCTCTGTCTCAAATAAATAAATAAAATCTTCAAAAAATAAATAAATAAATAAATAAAATAAAATAAAAATCAAATTTATGTTTTGGTTCAAGTTGACAAAAAAGGATCATGTTACTTTTAAAAAGTTTTTAAAATTTGAGGGCCTTTTGGGAAAAGAGGTGGAAATGAGAATCTCAGTTTTTTTGTTTTTTTTTTAGTTTTGGAACTTCTCAGTTTAAAGTGTTATAGCTACAAGAGCTGTTCAAACATTATTTTTGAAATTTCATTTGCATTTCCTCATAGTGCTGGCTTATTTGGTTTTCATAGCAGAACTTATTTAGGAAAAATACATCTATCACATAAGAAAAGAATAGTCAAAGGAGCTTGTTCTAATCAATAATGTAAATGTGATTCAGAGCAAAAGTATTTCTTGTTCTGATACATATTATGCAAAGTGCATTCTCCATAATAGCTTTTCAAAAATATCTTGTTTAAATTTTTTTTCAGACTTTAGAACCTAATAGTCGAAATTATTAGTTCCTTCATGATTTTCCAGAACTATTTTAAGTGATTACAAAATAACCACTTGAAGTTTGTGTAAAACGGGGCGGAGGGGGTGCTAATAAGATTGTTCCAGGTTGATTTTATCGGGAATTATCTATTACTCTAGAGTTAAAGGACAATTTGCAGTTTAAACTCAGGCAAACTAAAGTATACAACTGAAGTTTTGCATGTGATTGAACTACAAATTACTGGTAATGCACCATTATATTAGAGCTTTTAAAAATCCTTTTTACCACAAGTTTAACATCATAGCAATGTTATTTCTTAGCCATAAAAATGAATGGAGCTGAAGTAATATATTATGGACCTTTGTTTAAAATGGGAATGAATAACTTTCGGGGTATCAATATGAGGATGTAACTCTAAGACAAACTCCTCCAAGCTGCAAAATGTCATGGTATTTATTAAATTAATGATAACTAGAGTTGATTACATACATATCTCCTAGTCATGCATGACACATGTCTAATTGCTTTTTCCTGATGGACAATAGTCCATGAGGTATTATTTCTAGCTTTCTCTCTATCATCATCAAGAAGCAGAGAAAAGGGATTTAATGTTTCTTCTTGATGAAAAGACAGTTTCTTCTTCTTTTTTTTTTTTTAAAGATTTTATTTATTTATTTGACAGAGAGAGACACAGCGAGAGAGGAAACACAAGCAGGGGGAGTGGGAGAGGGAGAAGCAGGCTTCCCGCAGAGCAGGGAGCCCGATGCGGGGCTCAATCCCAGGACCCTGGGATCATGACCTGAGCCGAAGGCAGACGCTTAACGACTGAGCCACCCAGGCGCCCGATAGTTTCTTCTTCTTAAGGCACAATCTGTAGTAGGTATGTATTGTAAAACTCATTGTTCGTGTGTGGTAAACAGTACTGACATTTCCAGTCAGTGTCTTGGTATCTCCAAACAAACCTCTGAAAAATCAGAATTAAGTCCTCATTGTTCCTCATTAGACACGACTCAGGAACTGAGAGGCAGTGTGGCTGAGTGAAACCCTGAGTAATACATTCAAACTCTGTCTTCTAGTCAATCTGTTACAATTTTAGGGTTTTTTTTTTTTTCCTCCTTGAAACTTAAAATAAATGAACACTCATTATTATTTTAAAAATCTTTTTCATCTAGAAATATTTTCACCACCAATTTCTTGAGACCAAATTTATTAGATTTCTTCCAAATAGTTAAGCCTAATCCCCCCATTCCCCACATATACACAGATGAAAAATTCAATTCTACTAAATATGGATAGGCTCAAACGGATGCCTTTGAATTTCATACTGAATAACTGAAAGACAGTCATCAATATGCATAAGTATCTTAACAAAGAAAGGTTTCTGTGCACAACAGGATACAATATTTTGATGGTCTAAGACAACTATCAAAAATATTTTAATAGTCGAACATATTAGGGGAGTCTAAGAAGCACTGTTCCCTTAGTACTTTTAAGTCAATTAAAATATTTATAGCTGTCTTTAATTTAAAAAATAAAGTCCTACATTCTTCTTCAAGTATTTTGCAACATCCCCTACCATTTGGTCATTTTATACCATTTCATTGTCTTTTAAATGAGACCACATCTTACAAACCCCATATATGCAGTGCTAAGTACCCAGCTTCCTTTATTCACATCTTTCAAATTCACGTTCTCAATTTTCTATACCTTTGACAAAATCATTTTATTCTTCTCTGTCTCGATTGTACTGTACATATAAACAGAGACATGCAAGCTAACATGGGACTTGACCTTGACCCTCCTTTAACATAAGGCTATTCATGAGCGACAACAACGTTAAGCAGAATGCCCAAAACAACAAAGGTCTATAAGGCATCTCCTCGTATTGGTGCCAGTACCCTGGAAAGCAGGCTA